GAGAGGGAGGGGTGCGCGGGCGCGATCGAACGGTGTGTGTTATGAATGCCCGTGCAGCCGTTAGTTTCATTTCAAAAATAGCGTCTTTTCTGGGGCCGATTGCTTGAATTGTGAGTTCAATAGCCTATTATTCTTCATGGAAAACACTTCAACAAAAGAGTATAATGACAGATTGGCTTAAATAGGCGCTTTTACACAAAATATTCCTTCATCATCTATTCAGTCTAAATAGCGATAAATTTCGCTCTATTCACGTTTGGTGTGAACGCAGCATAATGAACAGGCTGCGATGTCAAGATTGCAATGCTGGAGTGTGTGTGTGTGTGCGCGCAGGAGAGAGAGGGTGAGAGATAGAGAGAGAGATCTTTTGCTTTTAAACTGTGTGTGTGTGTCTGTCTGTGTCTGTGTGTATATATATATATATATATATATCTTTTTTTTTTTCTCTCCAAAATATTCATATAACCCATATCTTTTAAGTGTATGGTTTGCTTTAAATTAAATTAAGATTGTATGTTTGGTAATTGAACCTAAATGAATTTAAAATTAACGTGCTATATTTGAGATCAATACAATCAATGTTTTCCTTCATTTTAATCAACACTAACTTTATTCTCATCTGAATTATAAATAATTTATTTCTCTATAAAATAAAAAATCCTGAATAATCCAGACCAACTAGAGTGCACTTTTCCTACAACATCATCAGTGCTGAAGCGAAACTACCAGAGCCGTTCGGCAGATTTTCATTCTTGTGTGCTTATTTCATGTGTCCGTTAAATCCATGAGACCGTCTGTAGGGCGTTTCATTTTTCATTTTAGGTTTCAGAAGGTTGCTCATGCATACATTGTGGTTGATATGTGCCCTCGATGCGCACTTTTGCAGAGCCCACACTGATGCAAGTTCTACAGCACACTTCTTTTCGACAGTCAAAGCGGGGTTACGTTTATGCACGACGTGCACAATAACCCTAAAGGCACCGGGGTGGCGGTGCCGCCGGCTTCTTTTATATATATATATATATATATATATATATATATATATATATATATATATAAATATAGCTGCGAGCAGCGATGAAGGGCCAAAGCCGGCGGCACCACCACCCCGGTGCCTTTAGGTAACTAAAGGCACCGGGGTTGCGGTGCCACCGGCTTGGGCCCGCAATCGCTGCTCGCAGCTATATTTATATATATTTATAATTGCATTTAAACACTGATCCGTGCACATATTTATATAAGCACATGAAATATGGTAAAGGGAAGCTCAACCGTTAAATGCTTGACGCATGTGTCCAAACCTCATTGGTGAAGTTTAAACTGGTTGTCAAGCAGCCTGTTTAAACTTCTGATTACCATATTTGATGTACTCTTGATGCGTGTTGATCAGTGTGAAATAGCCTAAATTAAATAACAGATAAAGCAACTTGAATCATAATGATTCATATGGATTTCTTTTACTATTGCTTTATAAACTTTTTTAAACCATTATAGTTTTGCTGGATTGGACTTTCGAAGGGACAAAAAACTCTCAGGTTTTATTAAAAATGTCTTGATTTGTGTTTTGAAGATGAACAAGAGTCATGGATTTGGAACGACACAAGGGTTATTAATCCATGACAGATTGGGTTAACTAACTCTTAAATTGTTTTCCATTGAAAATTGTTTTCCACTAAAATCTCATTTGCACTTATTCAAACTTACACATTGAAACGCTTCACGCTGCTTTGGCGTTAATGCTGCCAAAAGCCATTGGTCAATTGACACCACTGGTCTCTGTCTGTCTGTCTGTCCTTCCTTCCGTCCGTCCATCCATCCATCCATCCATCTATCCATCTATCCATCTATCCATCTATCTATCTATCTATCTATCTATCTATCTATCTATCTATCTATCTATCTATCTATCTATCTATCTATCTATCTGAAACTACAACTATGTGTCGAAAACTACAACTGTCAATTTCAGCACCAACAATTAGTTCCAACAGTAGCGTTTATTGTTAAGGACAGTACAATCATCAGTTATCAGTACATATTAAACCAACAAAGACAAAAACACAGAATTTAATCAATGATCGCACGTGCTGGAACCGACCCTTTTAATTAACAATTCCACTTACAGTAGAGGGGATACGACCATGACTGATTCTCCAGCGTGAGAGATAAAACTAAAAACGTTGATGAAAGAGTGAAGAAGGGCTTTAGTAAAATAGAGAAGGGCACACGGGGATGGTGATGGAGATATAAATGATGGTGAAAGTGGGATGATAGGAAAAGAGTAAGGTGAGAGCTAAAGTGTGGGGGAGGTTGTCAGTAGCAATGTGTCTATCGTTGCTAATGAGCTCTGAAGGCTAAAGAAACCGAGACACTGACAACAGACACAGCTAAACCGTCTTTCACCCTACACACTGTCATTCTCTCTCCCTCTGCCAAGCTATCTCATCCTTTTCCCCTCCCTCTCCCCCTTTTAACAACACCACAGATGAATGCAAAGAGGATTTCCATTTTTTTTTACCAGCCGTATAATGAACACATCTCATGCTATAATTTATGTAAGTGTACAGATGCCTAAGCAGCCATTATTAGGTAAGCTGATATAAGGATGTTGGTTCGCTATGGCAAGTGTGTTCTGCAGGGCAATCGACTCCTGAAGGACATGGGACATGCAGTGAAGCGAGAGAGGGCTTAAAAAGGGGTTGAAATTTAAGACATTCAATAAAAAAATTTTAATATATATTTTTTTATGACTCCACTGAGTATAGAGGAAGACAATTAAGTTAGCAAAATGCCCAGAGGACATGTCCATTCTCTTTGACTAGTCAAACAATTAATGCACCTTTTCTGCTCAGGTCCTGCTAATCAGTTCATGTTGAGTTTAACCTACAGGTCGATTATGACAGAACATGCTGTATGTGCTTTTCTCTACAGGCTACACACATATTATTTGCTTTTAAACTAGTATGAAGGTATACTTAAATTAAAATTAAAATGCAACGCATTTAAAACTATGTACCCTATATATGTACATAGACTATTAATCTTCTCAACCACCACACGCTTTACATTTGCTGCTACAAATTAAGTTTAAGTTTTAGCCTACGTTGGGTAAGCTTAGGGTAGTCACTCTTGCAAAACTTTTAGATGATACATCATCCTGTAGGCCTACATGCTAAACTAGTCTCTAAATATGTTACAATTTAGCAGTTAATATACGTTTTTCATTTGGAATTTGATTCACCCCATCTTCGAATCCTATAGCCTAAGCTATAATAGTTAAACAGCTAATTTACAGTGGGTCCTATATTTCTAGCTGCGATCACCCCTCACTACTGCTATTAGTGACAGCATACCAGTACAACCTGACTTATTTATATAAGTAGGCTACTAATTGGGTAGACAGCAACCCTATTAGAATGCACATCTCCTCGGGAAATCGATTTCTTGATCTTCGGAGACTGGTGCGAGTGAGCGCGAGCGCGTAATTGTACGGAGGGCGGGGGAAGCGCGAGACAGACATCCCGCGGGTGGAAGCGCCTTTTCCTCACAGAAATCGAACAAGTGAGAAACTGTTGCTTCTTGGTGATATCTTAACAAAGAAATCGGCATATTCTACTTTTAAATAGTAATTTGGCTACTAAATAATATTTTTCAAGTGCCAGTAGAAGTTTAATGATTCCCAAAGATAATAAACGATAGAAGTAGCCTGCGTGTTTAAAGTGAACTGACTTGAAGACGCTGCAAAGAAGCAGCAACAGGAGAAAACAATAGATATTTCAAGCTGACAACAGTCTGAGCAGAGTGACCGGTAAAGGAAAACCCGAAGGCGCGAGATTCTCTGACATAGGCTATTCCGAGCTGTTCGCGCACGCGAGAGGAGCTGCGCTGTCGTGCGGAGTTACTCTTCAATTTTCATATTCTCTGGGAACTTATAAGGTAGGCAGAATTGTTTTGCAGTTGACATTTGTTCTTCAGAAATGTTTTACAAACTTTTAGTATACTATTCTATAGAATTTCTCGATTATTTGCCTTTTAGTTGGCATCAGAATTGAAGAAAAAATATTTCAGGAAAGAAATATTTGGTCTAATTAGCATCCTGCATTTACCATAGGCTACAGAAGTTTAAAGACATTTGAGTGTAAATGGGCAAGACCTGGAAACAAGTAGCTGACACAACATTGATTGTTCTGATTATTTAAATTAAGAAATCTGTGATGATAGATAGGCTACTGTTTGTAGTTTTGGAGAGTTGTGTCTGTTATGTAGTAATGAATCTGCAAACTCTGTAATATAATAGTAATGACTATTAAAATTATTCATGTAAGTCACCAAGATGTCTTATGCATATATTGTGCCTGTTTTTACTGTAAAATGCTCAGTATTGAACAGAAATAAATAACCTCATTACACAATCAGCATCAGGGAATCTTTTGGGAGCTTTTCAATTATTTCATAGGTTTTCTAATTCATCTAATTTAGCTCTTTTTATGTTTCAACTCAGTGACAAACATGTCAAGATGCCAGAGGTGTTTGATCTTGGGACCTGAATGTTACTCAGCTGAAGTTTGATGAAGACCAGCAGGAATTGAAAATCAACCACGAGTGCTGTGAGCCAGATTTAAAATTATATTTCACAATCCACTTACCATCCGGCTTATAAGACATTTGCAAACGGATCACTTAAACATAAGCATTTTGATGAATCTGAATCACAATCACAGCTTTCTTCTGTGAGAGGAGGGGCCGAGTTTGTTTAAATGCTGCAGTGGATATGGACTTTTCTGGGAATTCTCCAGAACACTTCTTGAATTTCTCATGGAAAAATGAGCCACACCGCTGTCACTCCAATAATCCATAAGGAGACATACCCGGCACACAGCAACCCCTGAGAAATACACATCCACATCACCTGATAGAATCTCCATCCTTGGACAAAATCGGAGATACCAAATCCCTCATGTTGCTTATATCAGACAAGCAATATATATTTAGATGACAATATAAACCTACTGGATCATCCAGAATTGCTGTTCATAGCGATAACTGTGTCCAATGTGTGTCACTCAGAAGAGCTGGTACAGGTTAGAGGGCTGACTGTTATGATTTTAATGTAGTAAATACAAGCAGAAAGATAAAACCGCAGAAATTGAAACTTTGAAAAGGGAATGAACACAAACATCCTTTAAGACCTTGTTCCATAGGACATTTGATTAGTTTGTTGCTAAAGGTGGATTTTTCTAGTTTATTTCTGAGACACAAGCCACGTTTCATCGTATCTGACTCCTTCGTTATCTTTTCTATCTTACCTTAGTCCCTTTTCCTTCCCAGAGTTCATTCTGGCCGGGGCTGTTTCTTCTAAAGGGGAGGAGGACTTCCTCTCTATTGCTGCCTCACGCCTCAGCCGCAGGAAGCGCGTTATTGGCGCGGCAGTGGGCGTGGCCATGGTACTGGTGCTACTGGTCGCTATTCCACTATTGGTCCACAGCACCAAACTGGGTGGTTCTGGAGGCGGAGGTACACATTATGAGATGCTTGGAAGCTGTAAGATGGTCTGTGACTCTTTAACGCCCACCAATGAACTAACACCTGTTTCACCTCCTCCTCACGACATCCCTGGACGCAGAGGGGGAGGCAAGTCAGGTTTTCGCGGAAACCAAGGCCCACCAGGCCCACGTGGGCCACCTGGAGAACCAGGAAAACCAGGTCCGCCTGGACCTCCAGGTCCAGGCCCAGGGGGATACATCCCATCGTTCTACAGCCCCAAAATAGCCTTCTATGCTGGTCTGCGCAAACAGCATGAGGGGAGCGAAGTACTCAAGTTTGATGATGTGGTGACAAATGTAGGGAATTACTATGAGCCTACCACAGGCAAATTCACCTGCCCTCTTCCTGGAATCTACTTCTTCACCTATCACGTGCTCATGAGGGGCGGAGATGGAACTAGCATGTGGGCCGACCTCAAGAAGAATGGACAGGTAGGAGATGTGACTCTCTCTCTCTCTCTCTCTCTCTCTCTCTCTCTCTCTCTCTCTCTCTCTCTCTTCACCTATCACATGCTCATGAGGGACAGAGATAGAACTAGCATGTGAATTTCTCTCTCTCTCTCTCTGTGTGTGTGTGTGTGTGAACACAAGGATTGTGTGCCATTAGAGCTGCTTTGAGGATGCCTTTTAAATTCCAGTTCAACTCCTGAATCAAACTTTGGCTTGACTAACCCTGTTACAAAGTTTTTAAAAAAACGTCTACAGAGAGATACAATAATAGATAGTTAGAATGATGGAATGACAAAATGATATATTGACAGGTAGACAGATGTATTGCCATAAACAGAATGACATAATCAAACATAGATAGATAGATAGATAGATAGATAGATAGATAGATAGATAGATAGATAGATAGATAGATAGATAGATAGATAGATACCGGTTGATTTTGTGGAACAGTGTAAATTCTTCCTTTACCAGAATCCCTGTGTTGAATTACAATCCAGTAAATTCCTCTTCCTGTCATTCCAATTTAAGTTTCTGTGGGCCATGACCAATTCAAATTCAAATTCCAACTCGTGTATAAAGAGACCAAATTCTTAGTGTTGCATATCCCTGGTGAAAATAGCATTTGGATTCACTCTACCCAAAGGTAGAGTTTGCTAACTAAGTTTTTAGAGGCACTTTAACTAGACAAAGGTCAGATGTGAATAAAGTCTGAGTCTGATTTGACTGAAATATCAAACGAATATTAGATTCACCGAGGTAGGGATTAAGGAATACGTTTAACATTCAAATAGGATCCAGTAAGCCAGCTGCTCAATTATTTAGCAGTCATTTTTGTCTGTCTATCACTTGTAGCCTTACTGAAGATACCTACAGTGGGTAAAAGGACAATGGAAACATTAAACAATTAAAATGTTCAGTTTTATAAGAAAATGAAGACTTACAAAGGGCATAACATATCAAAGCATATCAAATTGGTTCAAATGTGATTTGAGATGTGCCTTTTATTGAGAAGTCAATTTGGGTCTGTTTAAATAAATACATTTTGCATAGTCAGAAACAACATTAGGTTAACAGTTTCCAATGAAAAAAAGGACATTAGTAACACACAAACAAGCAAACACTGTCTCTTTGTCTCTCTCTGGAGTGGAACGAGATGCAACAGCTGGAGACAGTCCTCACAGGACCCGTGGATTTAGAATAAATGGAAAAAGTGAGGGGAGAAAAAAACTCTCCATCTGGTGAAACATGACACGGATCTGGGATTCAGGCTCTCTCAACTCAACCGCTCAGTTTTGATTTTTAGTAGTTGAACAGAAAGCGGGGATTATCCAAGAGATATAAAGAAAATTCCCTTGGCAACACTTGTTTACATACACACTGTGTCTCTTTCTTTCTCGCACACACACATGGTTTTGTGACAGATATATCAGACAGGAAGTGATGAAAACCCTTTAATGAGTCTGTAGCAATCTGTCAGCTTCCCTTCAACACAGCCATTAACATGACATAACACCTGCCATTAATGCCCCATGTCTATTCATCATACATAATCCCAGAACAAAAGAAAATGAATCCACAACTGGTATCTGTGAAATAAGAGGTGGAACTGGTTCTTTTCAAAAGCATATGAGCCATCTCAGTTAAATATATTGATTCAAATGTACAAGCTCTGCATGTAAAGCCAATCTCAGAATCACATTTTAAGCCAGTGAATTCATTTTTTTTTAAACTTATGAAAAGAAAAAATAAATGTTTACATTGGTCCAATAGATTCAACAGTAAAACGAAAAACCACCTCTGCACTAAACATCAAATTAGTGTTTGTCATACTGTAAAGATGTTTTGTTAGGTAACCTTAATGCATTCTAGAAAACATCTAAATTAACTGGTTCAATTTATATAGACATTGGTTAACCAATGAAAATATTTTTTCTGTTCAGATGGAAATTTTACTTGTTTAATTTAGTTATGCAGATCAAGTGACCTGAATTGACTTTACTGAACAATAGCAACATTAATACAGTATCAAATTTGTTAAATCTGTTATGGACTGATTAAACAGTCTATCTGTTACATGACATAGAGGAGCAGATTGTCTCTGCTACTCATATAAAACATTGTATTGCGAAAAATACAATAGCAGTTGTGCTGTGGCCCATAACCAGGCTTGGGGATTCAACACAGCCTCCATTAAGTGGAGGACAAGATGCAGAAATGAGAAGATGAGGAGAGTAAGCTTAGGCAGTGTATGGCATGCATGTTGTATTGCAGATATTGTCATTCCAGTGATCTCCTCTCATGTTAAATCATTCATGTCTTTAAGATGAGATTCCCTTTTTTCCACCTGGGCCACAAACACACACACACAGAGCCACACTCTGCCACTCAGCCAATCTCTGCCCTTCGATTAATTATCTCTCCCCTTAGCTAAATTATTTAACCCATCTCAAGGTCCTCTCAAAGCATTCTCATAAACATACACAACCGCGCCAACATAAGTTTGGGTTGCTCTTAAAGGGATAGTTCATCCAAAGATGAATTTTATAGTTGTAAAATAGATCATTTAAATATTATTTCTCACCTAAAACAACAGTGACATGGGCAGGTTTTTCAACACTTTCCACTCCAAAATTAAAATAGTGTCATAATTTAGTCACCCTTATGTCACTCAATGTAACAAATGTACTTTCTTTTGTGGAATACCAAAAAATACATAAGTGTTTTTTGTCCACACAATTGACAATCTACACTCACCAGCCACTTTATTAGGTACCCCATGCTAGTAACGGGTTGGACCCCCTTTTGCCTTCAGAACTGCCTCAATTCTTCGTGGCATAGATTCAACAAGGTGCTGGAAGCATTCCTCAGGGAGTTTGGTCCATATTGACATGATGGCATCACACAGTTGCCGCAGATTTGTCGGCTGCACATCCATGATGCGAATCTCCCGTTCCACCACATCCCAAAGATGCTCTATTGGGTTGAGATCTGGTGACTGTGGAGGCCATTTTAGTACAGTGAACTCATTGTCATGTTCAAGAAACCAATTTGAAATGATTAGAGCTTTGTGACATGGTGGAAGTAGCCATCAGAGGATGGGTACATGGTGGCCATAAAGGGATGGACATGGTCAGAAACAATGCTCAGGTAGGCCGTGGCATTTAAACGATGCCCAATTGGCACTAAGGGGCCTAAAGTGTGCCAGGAAAACATCCCCCACACCATTACACCACCACCACCAGCCTGCACAGTGGTAACAAGGCATGATGGTTCCATGTTCTCATTCTGTTTACGCCAAATTCTGACTCTAACATCTGAATGTCTCAACAGAAATCGAGACTCATCAGACCAGGCAACATTTTTCCAGTCTTCAACTGTTCAATTTTGGTGAGCTCTTGCAAATTGTAGCCTCTTTTTCCTATTTGTAGTGGAGATGAGTGGTACCCGGTGGAGTCTTCTGCTGTTGTAGCCCATCCGCCTCAAGGTTGTGCGTGTTGTGGCTTCACAAATGCTTTGCTGCATACCTCGGTTGTAACGAGTGGTTATTTCAGTCACTGTTGCCCTTCTATCAGCTCGAACCAGTCTGGCCATTCTCCTCTGACCTCTGGCATCAACAAGGCATTTCCGCCCACAGAACTGCCGCTCACTGGATGTTTTTTCTTTTTCGGACCATTCTCTGTAAACCCTAGAGATGGTTGTGGGTGAAAATCCCAGTAGATTAGCAGTTTCTGAAATACTCAGACCAGCCCTTCTGGCACCAACAATCATGCCACGTTCAAAGTCACTCAAATCACCTTTCTTCCCCATACTGATGCTCGGTTTGAACTGCAGGAGATTGTCTTGACCATGTCTACATGCCTAAATGCACGTAGTTGCCGCCATGTGATTGGCTGCTTAGAAATTAAGTGTTAACGAGCAGTTGGACAGGTGTACCTAATAAAGTGGCCGGTGAGTGTATATGGGGTTCAATGTTGTTTGGGGCCTCACTGACTTTTCATTGCATTTACAAAAAATATTTTTTTGTTCCAGAGAACAGAAAGCCATATAAGTTTTGATTGACATGAGGGCGAATATTAAAGGATGACAGAATTTTCATTTTAGAGTGTAAACTGTTGGAAAACCTGCCCATGTCACTGTTGTTTTAGGTGAAAAACAATATTTACACTATTTATAACTATTTTAAATTGAAATAGCAAATGAAAAAGGCAAAAGAAAAAATCTAAAAGTGTGAGCCCTCCCAGATGAGGAGGGCGTGCGATGGGAGGCGGTAAGATGGTGTGGGATGATAGAGAGATGAACGGAGGAGAGGAAGATGGATGGCAAATCAGAGGAGAGCCGACAGAGAGGTCGGGAGAAAGTGTTACTCCGAGGCCAGAGACACAGACAGCATCAGATCAATGTAAGTAAGATAGATGAGCAAAACGACAGAAAGTGTGAGCGCGTGTGAGAGAGAACGAGAAATGACTACTGACCTCATTGCAGGTCATAGACTTGCACAAGCTGTTACTACAAACATAGTCTATGAACTTCTATCTAAAACATGTAGATTCCAACGCACTTTGAGACGAGCAAAAATCTGCGGCCTGTAACTGCAGCGAGATCATGGCAGTTAGTTTTATTTTTAGAGACCTGAATATTAATGTATTTATGAAATGCCACTTATTAGTTGAAGTTTGGCTCCTCATGGCAGGAATAGATTGCATGGGGCTGAATAAGAAACGAAAACAGCATCATGAGGGGTGCAGCAGGGAGCTCAACATCCACAAATTAATGTCACTCAAGCAGAATACCCAGCCAATTTGCTTCTCATTACAAATTCAATTAATTAAATCAGTAATTGATTCTTGGCTATGTAAACATGTCTCTTCTCATCCCACAGTATGACTATCGTTATACTAGGTTCAGCTTTAGTACTTCACCTCCCTGCCACTTTTGAAAACCTCCCACTCTCTCTCTATGGTCTCGTCAGAGTAGCGCAG